AACATCTTACAGTAAAGACAAATTAATTTTAAAATTCTTCTTTAAGGCTCTACACTAAAGCTCCATTCACTCTAACAGATTTACTTAGCTTATCTGACCTGAGTGAGTGTCTATAGCTGTGCAACCAACATCTGTAACAGCTATTTTTAATCACTGAACATTGACCACTTCTCTCTGCTGAGGTGGATCTGCACATGTCGGCGTATTAACAAAAAGGCAGATGGAACTAGACTAGTACTTAAAGTACTTTCTATTGCTGATATTCTATGGATTTTAAAAGGCACAGTGGCTTCATCTCTACCAGAGATGAGAGAAGTTCCCAGCTCAACCTCGATGAATCTATGATATGTAACTGTATCTATGACCCTATGACCCAGGAAGGCTCTAAGTTTTACCATCCGAACTCAGGTCTGTACCAACGAGCTCCAGCTGTTAGCAGTTGAAGATGCACCCCATGGGAAACTATAATAAACATGACCCAAACATCTGTTATCTCTAGAGGAGCAAGAGCAGCAAAGAAGGATGGAAAACTTCAGCTACATTCCTAGTAGTGCAGATATGACAATCCATTATGGAAACGGACCCATTTGCTGGTGGGCATACGTAGCTGGAAATTGTCCAGTGGGCCCTGGATAACTTGAGGAAATATCTGGGGCCAGTCAAAGCAAAAAGTATTACTGATTCTTCCTATAAGCAGGGGAAACTCATCTGCTATCTTTCTCTGCATAAAGTCAAATTTCTCAAAGCCTGAATATCACAAGTATCTTCTAATAGGTTATTACATGTAACATTATCTTCACCTATGTCTTGTGTGCCCAATTAGACATTAAAAACCTGAAGGAAAAAGATACTTGTATCCCCTTGGAGAGTCTTCCAAATAGCAGAAACCCTAGAGATATTTTTAAAGAAATTTACTTGTTAATGTAATTCAGCCTGACATAGTGGAAGGACACAAGACTGAGAGTCTGAGTCCAGGGGCAAACATTTTCTGAAAATGAGACAGCCTCAAATTCCATCTGTCAAGTGGGGATAAGACCACTCCAACTACTTACTTCATGGAGTTGTAGTAATGAAAGTCTTTCTAGAACTTAAAGCTTTCAGAAATCAGAAATATTATGTAGTAGTCTTTGATTTGCTTTGAAATTATATGCAAAGATGTAAATGGATGACTATCTGTTGAGTTTCAGTAACTTAAATATTTGCATTTCTAATTCGCTTCTTTCTAATTCTATTTACATTTCTGTTTCCTGTCTCTAATGATATTTTTCAGTAACTGGGCTGGGCTGATTAATTCATAAGAGGATAGGTGCTTTGCATAAATTTTTCATTAATTAGTACAGCCTGCTTCATTCAACAAGGTAATTCTATTAAATTTTACAGCAATTTAAAAATAAACTTCATTGTAGCTACAGTGCACACTTGGTCAAAAGTGTCTTTTTCTTTCCTCAGTTAATTTATCACATCCCCACATCCACAGGAAAACACTAACCCACTTTTCCTGGGATCGGTCTTAGAAGGTGCTGCGTTATTATTCACTTATTATTAACTACGCTCTATTTTGGCCAGTCATTAGTAAGAGCTAAACGTCGGGGAAATGACAAACTCCGATTCTGACTAGCTGATCCTCAAACCATACCAAGGGAGCACCAGATCTTTAACTGTGAAGTGGGTCTCAGAAGCCTGTAGATGGCAGTAAAAGCTGGGCTGGGAGACCGAATAAATTAGCCTTATTCAAATATGGACAGAACTCTGATCTGGCAACAAAATTTCCTCATCTGCTCCTTTAACAGCTTTCCCAAAGAGTTAACACAAATCAAACTGAACCCCTCTTTAAAACATAAATCAAACTGTGCCTATGGAGAAAGTTTCTTTATTCTTTTCTTTTTAAAGGGCTATGAAAAAGCCCTTGTCTTTAAGGGGTATATTAAGCCCCGGTGGCCTAGGTCCGTGTTTGTTTACTTTATCTGATCCCTGTGCCCAAAGAAAGCATGATAGTATTTCAGCCTGGGGATAGAGGATGGATTTGGTAATGGGAACTAGGGGAAAAATCCCTATAACAGGGCACGGGGGGGGGGCGCACCATTTTACAATTTAGTTTTACTCAAAGAGTTGCTTTCGTCAGTGGTGACAAACAGGTAGCTCCCACTTCCAGGTGTGTCCAGAGCCAGATCAAAATGTAATTGGAAAAATTTAACAAAATAAAAATACAACAGAATATAGATGTTAATATGTAGTTTTCTAAGAACGGAGCCAACTGGGATCCTTACGTACAACTTAGCATTCCCATTCAACATTGCTGATTCCACATAGGCAGGATGTGTCAGAGCAGATACATGAACCCAGATATTCCTGGCTTTTCACTCTATTCACTATGCTATGGAAAAAAATGAGTATTTTGACTAAAACCTGAAACTGAGTCTCCTACACCTAAATGTTACACATTTAAGAATTAACAAATGTATTCTCAGCTCCACCAATTAGCATTCCCATATTTAAATTTTTAATAATTGACATGACTGAGGCAAAAGGGAGGATGAATCTTTCAAATGTGAAGCTCTTGAAAGACTTGACCTAAATCAAATTATTAAATTTCACATCAAATATTTGAATATCCACAAATTTCTACTGTCTCCTCCCCACCCCATGTGCTCTGTTCTATATAATCTTACAAAAACAGTTGTCAGATTGCTTCTTTATCATGCAAACTTTTTCACCACCTACCGTAGAAAATGTTTCCATCTCCTGGGTTTTTGCCAACTACTTTATCACCAACTTAAATTTACTGCAAGAATAGATGGCACTTACTGAGGTTGAATCTCTAAACTAAATACAGTGAGCAGCCTGTTTCCCTCTCATTAGACGTTATACCATTAAAACTGCCATCCCACAAAAGAGCAAAAACACTTTTGACTTCCAGCCAGTATTTTCAAACCTCCCTTCACAATTCCACTTGCTTGTTCTCTCCACAAAGCCAGCCAGACTATATCCTTCCAACCTCAACCCCATCTTAAAGCACTGGGTAACTGCTAAAGGTCTGGAAGAATGGGACATTGAAAGGAATGCCTACCTCACTGTACTCCTGTGGACATTACTAATCTCAGCTATTTTAAACAATTCTAATCCTAGCCCCACCAGAAGCACAGGTCTTCATGTCAAAGCTAAAGTGGTGGATCTTTTCCTTATTTTTCAAGTCAATAGGCATTTCCAGCCTGCTAGTTCAAACCCAGAATAAGAGGACTTCATTAAAAAGGGGTATTTTCAAGCAAACCACTCTAGACTTCTAAAAACCCTGAAGTGCAACCAGAGACAAGGGAATCTATCTCAAAGAAGTTAAAACACAAAGCCAACAAAATAAAGTCTTTAACATTGCCCCCGTTATTTTGAGGCCTTTCTACAGCCTAAAGGGTTTTTCAAGAAAGGAAACCCACCCTTTTCTCTCCTCCCCTCAATAAAAAGAGGAAATCAAAAGACAAGTCCAGTTTTTCACTTCCTTATTTTTTTTAAGTACTATCTATATCAACAGCACCCAACAAATATTTTGGCTATATCTATATCTATCTATCTATCTATCTATCTATCTATCTATCTATCTATCTATCTATCTATCTATTTATCTATATCTACATATAAATAGCTACTTCACCTTTCTAGACATCAGTTTCCTCACTTGTAAAATGAGGTTGTGGAAGTGATTACTTCTAAGGTCCCTTCCAGCTCTAAAGCTACAATCTTGTGAAATATTTTGATTACAAAAGCTCTATTATCTGATTGCTACTGAATCAATGCAAAGGAAACAGTTTTGTACCTACTTTGGAAAAAGGGGCAAGAGCCAACTTCATCATCTCTTGAAGCTTAAGCTCTCTAGGCTTCAAGTTTCAGGATCTGTAAAACGGGTGTAAGAATACTAGCCGTACTTAACCCTGGGGCGGGTGTCTAGGATCAAATGAAACAGTGTACTCGAAGCACTCTGCAAACCCGAAGGTACTATACACGGTATCCTAAAAGTCTTAGTGCAGTTGTAAGCTATGTCTTGAAGACTCTTGGGACGAGCTGTATAAATGCCAACTACTGTTACCATCATCATCACTGATCACATGGTAAGTAAACACTTAATAAATGTTGGTCGAACTAGACCAAAATTTGAATTTGGTTCGATTTGGTTAGACATAGTTCTGGTCTTAATAATCTAATAACATGCATAAAGCAAGAGGAAAGATGGTTACCAAAGAAGGATCCAACTGTAATTCATCTTGCTTCTCCATCAATGAAAGGGGAAACATTTCGGCACAAAAGGACACTGAAAGCAATGGTTGCTTCCAAGGCGCATCTCATGGCGACCGTTTTGCAAAACTGAGGCAATGGTGCCCAGGGTTACGTTGAATCATAATAAATTACCAGACCTTAGGCAGCCTGAGGGCAGGCACCGGGTCTCACCAGACGGTATCTCTCCCCCAGAGCCCTTAGCACCGCTCTCAGAACACAACCCATAGTAAATAAATGCTTATTGTAAGCCCTTAGTAAAATAAATGCTTATAACCTGGCACTGAACTAGAGGGGAGCCGAAGAAGCAATAATTCTCGGGGGGCAATAACTCTGCATCTCTCCTGAGTGCCCAGATGACCCCCACAGATGCTCTGGGAGAGCTATTTCCCCTCTTCCCGGCCCCACTCCCAGCTTTGGGATGCTCAGTACTGAGATGCCTATGGAAGTGACCCAGGAGGGAATTCCCTATTGCACAAGGCACAGGCAGCAGGAGCTGAAGCTCCGCCCCTTTCCCCGGGAAACTTCCCTACGAATCCCCGGGAAGGGAAAGCCCGGGAGCAGCGCGCGCGCCCAGGGGAGCTCGCGCAGTCGCGTGGGGGCCGGGGCCTGGCTTCTGGGGATGGGGGAGGGGGTGCGCAAACAAACCGCGAGCTCGCACGCGTGCGCCCGCTTCCCCGCCCGCCCTCCCCTCCCCGGCCAAGTGGGTGGGGGCCGGCGACTGCTTTTGGGTCCTTTACCTGGTGCAACGAGCACCCACTGATCGCAGTGAACTTCGGCCGGCCTCTTCTTGTGAGAGAGCATGTTAATCACCTTCTCCCCAGAAGACTCAAGCACATTAACCGCCCGGCTCTCTCCCCCACACCCGAGGCACTAATTAGCCTTCGGCTTGGTCGGCTGGGCCTGGATACGAGGTTAGCTCTGCGGTTCCCGGAAAAAAATCTTGTGCAATCGAAAAATGGCGGGAGAAAGGGTCTATTCCGAGGTCTCCCTCCCCCCGCCCGGGGCGGGGCCATCGTTGGAGGCGGAGCGGGGCGGGAGGAGGAGAGCGGCAAGGTTACATTTAGTTTTAGGCGCGAACTGGGAGGACAACGTGATTCTCCTGATTTTGTATCCCTAGTTCCTCCTTCTGGCGCCGAGCCAAGGCAGAGTTTAGAGCCGCAGCCCTACGGAAAACAAAAAGGCCGCAAGGAGCTGCTGCTACACCCCTCCCTCTGGGGAAGGTGGTAGAGGCCGAGCTCGAGCTCCCGGCCCGGGAGATACTGCGATGTGCGAGGCCCGGAAGCAGAGCGCCTACGTGCTGCTGAGCTCGGGCCTCCCCACGAGCTAACGAGGGGACGAAAGGGGGCGGTCAGCAAGCGCGAGAGAGAGACGGGGCTGCTGACCCGGCCCGAGCTCTGGCGCCCACCAGCAGCAAAGCCTGGTCACGGGGTCGCTCTGAGAACGCTAGCGATGCATGCTTGCCGTTCTGAGTTTGTTGTTAGTCGCCGAAACTCTTGTTTGAGAACAGAAGAGCTCTTCGTCCTGAGCGACAAGAAACGAGTGAAAAGAAAGGACACACGCACGTCCTCCCCTCCTACCCCAGAAGGTTCAAGCCCATGATCAGGACTGTTGTAGAAGGAGCAGAATGCCTGGGCATAAAGCGGTCCCTGAGCAAGGGTTCTTAACTGTGAACTTTCATTGTGTGTATGTGTCATACGTGCATGTATACATATATGCATGCGTACATACATGCATGCATGCACGGCAAACAGCTCCAGTATCTTTGGCAAGATCCCAAATGGATCGAGAAGAGCCTGACCAACTGATCAACAAAATACATCTATATAAAATTATGATAACCCTTAAGCAAGGGTTCTTAACTTAGGGTCCATGAACTTGAAATACGTGTGTTTGTATATATAATGTGTATATATGTACATTTACATATTTATATATATATATATATATATATATATATATATATACAAAATGATTATAATGACTCAAGCAAAAGTTCTTAACTTGGGTCCCATGAACTTTAAATATGTGTACATATAAAGTTATATATTTGTGTATATATACATTTGTGAACATATATACATACAAATATACTATTCTAGTATAATTTGTTTTCTTTGTAATCCCATACATTTTATTTTAACCATTAACAAATGTTCTGAGAAGGGGTCCCATAAGCTTCACCAGACTACCAATATCTTTGTTTTGTTTTTCGGAGACTAGATTGCCTAATCTTGCACTACAGATCAATAGGAAAAGCTCTGTTTTTCTGACCTGAGGCTGTTTGCCTTTCTTGGATAGCCTGGTGATCATCAGCTGGAACCTCATTATATTGGTGCTGGATTTAGTAAATGGGCTTTAGCCCTACTGCGGCTCAGAGCTCCTGAGTTCAATTGACCCACCAGCTTGGACCTCCCTCTGGAGCTGAGATTACAGGGACTGCTCCACCAGCCCCAGAAAAGAACCATTTTTGAGGCTCCTAGAATCAATTAAATTCATTTCAGTTAAAAAAGTATCTGTTAAGCACCTACTAAGTGCAGAGCCCAATGCTAGAAATAAAAGAGAAACAAAAGCAGTCTCTGAGCTAAGTGTGCACAGATGGTAAATACAAAATAATTTCTCAAGGCCTGGGGGGTATGGAAGAAGGAGCTTCAACTGGAATGGATAAAGAAATGCCCCCAGTAGGAATGTAGGAGGTACCAGCTGAGCCTAGTCCTAGGCAACTTATCCAGTCAGGTTTTTTTGCTCCTGGTTTTCTTGTTGAAATGTTACAAGTCAATTGTCTAGGTTCCTATAGAAATTGGAATGTACACTGTATAGAAGTCCCAACTCTCCACTGGACAATCTTGTAACCTTGGGAAAGTCACTTAAACTTGTGAGCCTCAGTGTCCTTATCTGAAAAAATGAGAATAATCATAATATTTGCACTACCCCCCTCCCCACAAGATTGTGAGGCAAGCACTTTGAAATGATGGCTAAATGAAAAGTGGTGCACAAGTCCTCCTTGGAGGGGAAAATAAAAGAGCTGGTAAAGTTGGTTTTATCATCTACTCAAAGTAAAAAGAAATATCACTGCCCTGGGAACCTGGTCATTGTGCAGTGCTCCTGATAAGCATGAGCAAAAAAGACCATTGAAAATCATTGTGACTTTCATGGTAACATCTGTTTCAAAAGATGAAAAGACAGAAAAGTCTGGAAAACAGGAGAAGAGCCCCCAAACTCAACTTATAATCTTATACGAATTGTTATCACTGGGAAGGTAGCCACAGGAGATAATGATTCAAAAAAAAAAAAGGAAAATATGCTCAGGTTTGAAAATAAGAGGCCGATGTCTTGGAGATCACTCAGAATCTTCATGCGTCTGTAATAGAGTGGGCAGAAATCTCTTTGATACTCAGCCTTGTCCAAACCTTAAATGGCTGTACTTGCCTGTAGAAAAAACAAGAATTCATCATCAGAAGTGATCCTTGACTCCTGGATAAAGAACATCTCTGTACCTTTTCCCCAGCCCTTTTATTTATATGGACGAGTAGAAGATATTTAGAAGCAAGCCTCGAACACCAATGTGTGTTGTAGTTATTGGGGAAATGATCATTGCATGGATTATTTCCTGGCCTGCAAATTTGCAAGTTTAAGAACCTAATATTAGTCACAATAAGCTAGTAAGTACCTGACAAATCAAATTTGGCCTCTTACCTGGAATAGATTGGTTGAGAGGTTGCGGAGGAGGATGATTCTGGAGGCAAAGCTTGCTCTAGATGACTTGTTCTTATTGTGTTTGCTTGGTACCAGGTCTGGCAGATTTAGAGGGGAGAGTTGTCCCTCCTTGATTGTGCCCTGGGATTTGTATTTATGTGTGTCTGCCTTCCTTGCTGGTGCTGTGTATGTTTATGGAATTGTGTGCCCCGGGTTTAGAGAAATATGTTTCTTAAGATGCCATTTTAACAAATTAATTTGCTTTGAAACTAATTGTGTCTCCTGATTATCAACAAGGAAACACACACAGTGATGGGAACTCTGGAACTATAGTTTAAGGAATATGGATCAACAGAGTACCTGGAGCAAAACTGAGCCTAAAAGGCAAACATCCAGATATTGAATGCCTAGAAGATTCCTTGATAAATGTGATCGGGATTATCGTTTTGTTGAATGATCCTCTGATTACTAATATCAAGGATACCTAAAACAAGAAGATGTGGGCTCCCCTGTCATGTAGAGTTTCTTGTGCAGGATCCTAAAGGAAAAGAGATTCCTTTAGATGGGGAGGTCTTCCATATGTTCCTTAAGCCCTAGAACATTGTAGGCAATGCCCAATAAAATCCATGATTATATGATTATTCAAAAGAAATCTACCTAACCATCCATACACTAAAAACTAAATGAATGAAACAAGTCCGTTATCTAACAATGGCTTATGTTGGGTGGCCAGTCCATTGAGGTAGAATATCAGTACATATATCTGGGGGTAGGCAAATATGCTGTCAATGGGGAGTGATTTGGGGACAGAATTGAAGAGGAGGAGGATATCTGACTAGATTGTATTTGGGAAGTTGTAAAATGCATTTAATAATCCCAAACTTCTCCTACACAAAATCTCTACATTCTGTATAAATGCTCTCTGAACAATGATGTATGGATACAAATCTTGGAATACCACAGTCTCTGAGCAATCCAAGATATGGGTTTCCAAATGGGCAGTAGAGAGAAGTATGATGGGTGGTAAGTGAAGTAGAACCAAAAGAAAAATATACCTGATTACAATAATGTGAATGAAAAGATCACCAATAGAAAGCCAAATTCTCAGTGTGACTAATGAATGTCTAAAAACAAACAAACAAACAAACAAAAACAAATGATGAAACATACTGTTCTCCTCATGGTAAAGAGGTGGGGGTCTAGTAGAGCAGAATGTGTATATTTTCAGACGTGATCAGTCAGATGTTTGAATTGTTTTTCTTTGTCACAAGTCAGGGTTTAGTCTAGAACAGGCATAGAAGGTGTTTCTCCTTCATCCCCAGAGCTCACTGTGATGTAAAAGCAAGATACATCAATAACACTTTTTTAAAAAACAAAGAAAATGGTTGTCCATGCTCAATAGTTAAGAAGGTATCTTTTATTGAAACTACAGAATCTTCTACCATCATACTTTCCCATCCAAGTTTCATGCCTCCCTTTGTTTTTATATGTTCCCCTTTCTTTCATGTCACTAAAAGCAGAAGTAAGATGAGTTTCTGGATCTTTGGAGAGCCTAGGAAACATCCATAAGGAGCATGGGGAATGTAAGATTGTGAATACTCCCAAGGGGCTTGTCTAGCAGAGAGCATTGGCTTTAATGGGTGCTCTGCATGTCAGTTGCCTTTATGGTAATAAAAAGCTTTGTAGAACTTCATTTTGACAGATCTAGTTGTCTGGGAGGGTAGCCTTCTGTTGCAGCCCTAGCCAGTGGTCATAACAGCAGGGTTCTCTGCGAAGTCTCTGGATAAAGGCGTTGCCTTTTTTTTTTTTAAACAGACCTCATTCCAATGTATTTTTATATCATCACAAAAATATTCCTCAGATTAAAAAAAAACAGCTGGAACTGATTTTAATCAAAGAAATGTAAATCATGATTACAATCACTAATCAAGAAGTTTGGATTTAATTTTCCCCCCAACAAAAAGTAGATTCTTCCATTCCCTATCTTTAGGAAGGAGGTTGTATGAACTGGAAGGCATACAGACAGATTCAGGCAAACAGGATGGTGGAGTGCTTGAGGCAATGCCACCGGAGATTAATTGAAGGCAGTAGGGATGTTTAGCCTGGAAAAGAGAAAGCCTGGAGGGGACGCAGTAGCTGTCCTCAAGTATTTGAAGGGCTGTCATGTGGGGGAAGGATTAGTCTTGTTCTTGGCCCCAGCAGTTAGAACTAAAAGCAACAGCTTGTGGGTGCATATTAAGTACCTCCTTTCTAGTCCAACTAAGAATATTAAAAAATAGATATTTCTTCAGCCTAAAATCTTTTCCAGACTTTTCTCTTT